TCTTTTAAAGCTCCACACGTGACGCTGATACACAGGTAGGATTGGGAGCACTATGAACCTTCCTTTCATGTGGCAGAAATGCTGGCTGTCCACCAACTCCTCCTTCCATAGCGGGGAGTTGCAGCTGGGTGGTCACTGGCCAGCAGTCCCCGTTGCATTTAGGCAGGGCCTTGTGACTGAGTTCTGGCCAATGGAATGTGGGCAAAAGTGATGTCCACCACGTCCAGGCCTGGACCTCCCACTGGATCCTCCACTCCACTCTTCCCTATTCTCTGCCAGCAGGGCGTCAATGCCTAGGGCAGCCTTCCATATTCAAAAAACTTCATGCCCTGTGTTCTGAAAGCTCAAAATCTCAATTAACAAAGAGAACTTCAGCGTTTTATTCCACTGGACAAATGGCATAATCCCTTCATAGATTCAAAATTGTTTTGTGAACAAATATTGTGACCTCTTTCAAATGTGTATTATTACCACTCCTTTCAAACAGCCTTTTTGAAGTTTGCTAACTTAGGACTACAGGGTCAACTCTCCCCTTCCCTATTGAGTGTCCCAAAGTTTCATCTTCCCTCAGAGTGTCCCAGACCCCTCCTCCCCTGCTGTCTACAAGACAATCTTAGAGGGGGTCTTAGGTGTGTACTTAGGTAAAAAAAAGAAAGCCTGTAATCTTGAAGTGTGAGGGACCTGGGGTGTGCTGTTTCCCAATCCTTGGTTGGCAGGCACGCTCCTCCATCCTACCTGCAAGGCAGATCTTATAAAGAGCAGCGTCTTGCTTTTAAATTGAGTCCCACAATGGGAGTCCTTGTTGAATACAGCAGAGCCTCTGCCACCCTGGGTGCCTAAATGACTTTATGGAACAGAGCCACCCCCACTCCCACCTCCTTACTGCACATTAGACTTTACAGGAGAGGGAAATAAATTTTTATATGCGAACCCCTGAGATTTAGGTGTTTATCTGTTACAGTATCTAGCATGACGTTAACATACATGACATAACATACATACAATGACTCATTCCTGTATAGATTCCTAACTGCAGGTTGCATCTTGTCCCCCCAAACATAACTTTGACAATAAAAGTTTAATATGACATATATTGCTTGGTTGGTACTAGTTATGTCTCTCAAGTTGAGTCTCATCAAGGGGAGAATCTCTCTTCTGAGACTTTCCTATCACAAAATCTTCCACATAGGGGCCGGCCCCGTGGCTTAGTGGTTAAGTGCGCGCACTCCGCTGCTGGCGGCCTGGGTTCGGATCCTGGGCGCGCACTGGCACACTGCTTATCCGGCCATGCCGAGGCGGCATCCCACATACAGCAACTAGAAGGCTGTGCAATTATGACATACAACTATCTACTGGGGCTTTGGGGGGGGAAAGAAAGAAAGAAATGTGTCTTTAAAAAAAAAAACAAAAAACAAAATCCTCCACATCGACAGTCTAGACCACCTATTAGGAAGACATCACAACTTTCATTTCCTGTTCTGAGAGAATGAGATCATTCCTAAAAACTATCTGTGTACAGGAGATATCTGATGAGGCTTCTGGATTTGTTCCTTGTCATGGGCTGAGTTGTGTCCTCCCCTTCCCAAATTCATATGTTGAAGTCCTAACCCCTAATACCTCAAATTATGACTTTTTGGAGATAGGGCCTTTAAAAACGTAATTAAGGTAAAATAAGGTCATATGGGTGGGCCCTAATCCAATGTGACTGGTGTCCTTGTCAGAAGAGGAGATTAGGACACAGTAAGGCACAGAACATGTGAACACAAAGAACGTGTAAACGTGAAGATGGCCAGGTACAAGGAGTGAGGCCTCAGAAGAAACCAACCCTGCCTATATCCTGATCTCACACTTCTAGCCTCCAGAACTGCGAGAGAACAAATTTCTGTTTAAGCCACCCGGTCTGTGGCACTGTTATGGCAACCCAAGCAAACCAATACAGTCCCGAAGGTGGTGGCCAGGACACCAGGATAATCTGTAATTGTACTGTGGGTCATTTCGCGTTAACACGAGTTAGCATAAGGATTGTTTCCTTTGGTCCCCAACCCCAATACACACGTGTCTCTGCCAGCCTGCCCTCTCCCCTCTTTCCTTGTCGTATCAGAGTCTCTTTTCTCCTTTCTCTATTTATCAGAGATAGAAAAGAAAAAGGATGTGAATGGAGAACAGTACTGAGATGACGGGGGAGTGGGGACTGTTTCTTCTAATCCTGAGATAAGGCGGAAATCCTTCTGCCAGGTAAGCACATCACTTACAGTCTCCCAGAGTTGGACACATGGGTGTGAGTCTGGAAGAGGCATAGAGTTTTGCTAACGAGGAGTCTCACAGTCCGACTGTGTTGGGTCTCGGCAGTCAGCTGCCTATGGGTGCCTCTCTCTGGTTACTCGGTGTTGCTATGGCAGATCCTGCAGTGGTGTCCTTGCCGGCTGTTTAAACAGGCAACATGCTCAGCGTGGCTGGGTGGGTGTGTGGGGAGCAGGGGCGGGCACTTGCCTCCCTGGTAAAAGCATCAGTATAGCCTAAATGAGAGTCTGATTCTTGGAGGCTTCTTGTGGGAGAGACATCAGCAGCCATTGGCCAGATATCTCCCAGCTCTGCTGAAATCTGCCCCAGGCCAAGCTGACCTCAACTGGGAGGATGCCAAAACGTCCCACAGAGTGACTGAGGTAAGGGGGTGGAATTAAGTATTTCATTTACAAAGACCCTGGTTAAAGCAAACTTTGTGGTCTCCACTAGTTTATGTGATTCTTTTGCTAACATTGTCCCCACATCTCAACTTCTCCATCTCACAGAGTGTGTACATACATGCACACACATGTGCATGCGCACACACTCATACCCATAGCCGCCCACCCACACACATACAAAGAGAAGGAAAGATCTCTATATGATGGTTCTGAAAGTAGCTGAGCCAGAATGATAATGGGAAATCTAGGAGCTTGGACTTCTAGACTATTCCTTCTTTTTTAAGCAATGTAAGCTACTGAATTTGAGGTCAGCCCAGCATGATGAAACATCCTCCATTTTTTATGAGTCTGGGCCTTTATTTCCCTGGATTTGCTCAGGAAACCTCACTCCCTTTCCCATCTTGCCCAGGGAGGGCCATTTCCTTCAGAGTGAAGTTTCTGCTTGGACTAGGACCTCATCTCACCTAATCTCGCGTCATGCTAGATACTGTAACAGATAAACACCTAATAAACACCTAGGTTGCATCTTCCTTCCTGTTTCCTGGACAGAGGCAAGCAGAGAGCCACCAATGTCCCACTAAGGAGGCCTGCTGAGAGCATTTACCATTGCAGGGCCGATCGATGGATGGGAAGGCGGCTGCCGTGTCCAGAGGGGGTCAGGCTGAGCCGAACCTGCGCTCTGTACTGGGTGTGGGGGTGTAGAGGGAAACCACAGCAGGACGGGCCTGCGTTCTGCGAAAACATCCCTGGCCACCTGTGGGATATACTTACCAACACCGACCTCCACCACCTGCATAGGGAAAACACTATAGGGTGGTTTTGTCCGTCGGTCTTTACTGAGTACTATGTCAGTGCTGTGCCAAGTCCTTTCCACACATCTTATTTCATCTTTCCAACAATCCTGTGAGGATATCCCTACTTTACAGATGAGGAAACTGAGGCACAGAGGGGTTCAGTAACATGCTCAAGGTTGCACAGCTGGTGAGTGGAGGAGCTGGGAGACTGGAGTATGCCCACCTTCAGAGCCCTCAGCATGCCCCAAACACCCAACGTAAACCTGGTGAAGAGAAACACACCTGGAAATCTTAATGGACTCCACAGGATCAGTTTCCTTAGCTTTTAATGTAAAGTAGCTATCAGGTTCAAGATTTTTTCCTCTTTGTTATCAATTTAGACACTTTGCCTGTAATATAACTCTTCAAGTCAAGTCAGTGGACTTACCACTTTCCTTGACCTACTACTGCAAATACATTCTCCATCCAATATTCAGTCTGAAAACAGTCACACACACACTTTTTCATCACTTTTTAAAGATCTAATGGGCTAGCCTTTTTCTCCCCTAATACTCATTCTTAGGAATAGGCAGTTTTCTAGGCTCCAGAGAGCGTTTACTTGCGTCTCTCCGTGCTAACACATTCAGCGGTAGTAAATTAGGTCTTGAAAGAGGCCCATTCATTCTTTGGTGCCATTGATGTACTCCAGCAGAAATACTTAGTGGCCTGAAATAATGTACTGGCATCCTGAGCCCCCACCCTAAGCAGCTTAGACCTAAAACAGAGACTTTTCTGCACAACATTTCCAAAGGATTGTGCATTTGGAAATGTTTTTATGATCATCTATCTTTTCAGCAATTTTCCCTGTTTAAAGAAAAACTGGGATGGGGTGGAGGAGGGTGGACACAGTCGCACAGGGTGACAAGGAAGCCAGATGGCAGAGAGAGAATTCTAGCAACGCTCTCGATTGTTCCTGGAGGCGGCGACTTCCAGGGTCTTCGGGTGTTTGAACGCAGATCAAGGCCTTCCGTCCTGGGCTGAGCCCAGGTGAGGACCAACCACTGGGAGGCCCGACCAGGCTCCTGCAGGGGCGGGAGCTGAGGGCGGAGTCGACAGGTTGGCAGGGCCAGGTTTGGGTTGGGATCTGGGGAGAAGTGATGAGATCCGAAAGCCGAGTTTGGTGGAGGTGGGCTGGGTGGGAGCTCACCCCAACTCCCGCATTCAGCATGTCTGCAGAGAAACAAAAATGTTTCCCCGGGGTCCCGGGTCCCGGCACAAAGGGGCTGGCCGCGCACCCTCGGGCGGGGAGCGCGCGCCGCCTGGTCCCCGCCCCGCCGCGGGGTCGCCGC